TTCCGGGGGGGGGGGGGGGCTGTGTGGGGAGCCAGGGTGACCATGGCAAGAAGGCTGATAGAGACAACATCCAAAAGTATTCATGCTACCAAAATTAGCGTGATCAAAATTACCTTGGCAATGAACATTGCAATACTTGAAACAAACCAGAATACTGAGAAATATGTGTTAAAATACAAGCACATTTGCAAAGGAAGGTCAGATACCAACTCACTACCTAAAGATGTTGAATATCAAATAAAAGTCATGTTAAAATTTTAAAATCCCAATATTGCCTGACTCTTGCCTCTATAAGTAAAATTGTCTGGTGTTAGACAGAGTAAAATAACAAAATATGTAAGGTGCATTAGGCCCTAATTGTTAATGCACCAGCTGGTAACATGCCCACAGATAGAGACTAGTACATAGAAGTCCAACCCAGTCAATAGAGCTTAACCACCACAACACCCAATCTCGTACCCAGAGTATGCTGGGCATGCCCAGCACCTAACCTGCGAATGGGCATACTCTGGGTACGAGATTGCCACAACGTCACGATCGTCATCTGTGAAAATGCACTCGCTATATATGTTCCTAGCAGTATGCTTACGAGAGGCATTCACCCTCTGAACATCCACCATATTTGAATATATTCAGGGGGAAAAGCCTCTCATAAGCACAGTGGCTAAGAACATGGCCACAACATTGGGCGTAAAAAAAAATACCTGTGGTTCTGGTTTCATATCGCAAAAAAATTAGGGTCGGTAGGTCAGAAATAATTTTTTTTTGAATATTTTTTTCATGTTTTTTTTTCTCCAATAATTAGTGTGACAACAGATGCCATTTTGGCAGCAGACCGCAACAACCCGGAGAAAATAGGGTCGCATGGTCAATCGCGTTGAAAAAATAATAGGGTTGGCAGAAAAAAATAGGGTTGGCTGGGAACCGGAACCACAGGGTTTTTTTTACGCCTTGCAATGGTTATGCCAAAATCATAAGCACCAACAAGAAGTCAGACTTCTGTATGGTCTCTATTCTGTGAATCTGTGACATGGTAGCCAGCTATACACTGTCAGGTTTTTTGCCAAGTCAAACATCTTATAATATACAGCTTATGTGTTTGGCTGTTTCCAGGAGGAGGGGGGGGGGGGGACATCTGCATATTACTGTAAATAAAAAGACGTACAATATTGTATTTCATTTAAATTAAAGCAAACAACTCATCATCTAACAATCCATAGAAAGTAAAATTTAGAACATAAACTAACTTTACCATGTAAATTTCGACTATAATATCTAATTCTGTCTAAACTGCGAATTAATTCTTTATATTAGTTTAGTAGTACAGTACCTGTGCCTAGAGCCTTCTCTCTGGGAATATGCTTCAAACTTCGCGAACCAGGAAAGACAGTTTCAGTTACTGATGTAAAAGCACGGTGAACCACTGTAGACTGTCTGTCTTCCATAATTTGTTTTATACAATTTGATTTTCGGCCAAATTTCAAGTTTTCAACAAACTATTTAACCCATTTTTAGAGAATTGAATTCGATATAGGTATTCTCGTTCTCCCCCCGGAATCTCGTGTAGCCAAAATACAATCTTTCAGGATGTCATAGCATTTGGTTAACGTCCGCCATTTTGGATTTTTTAATGAAGAATTTTATTCAAATTTTTGTGTATTCTTGCATCGAAATTAGTTTAATTTTACTAAAATGTGAAACGAAATCTTAAATTACACTAAGTTGTTTAACAAGAGCTTATAATGGAAAGAAAGACAGAGTAAAAATGCGAACAAATAGCTGATTTTACATGGAAATTTAATGAACAATTTTCAATAATAAATGGTTAAAAATGACGTCATTGTAATTCTGGCATATGTAAAATACATTCTTTGGCTGGCAATTAAAATTTTGTTTGGAAAAATGGTAATGAGTGACAGAGTATTAAAAATTTCAATTCAGTTGAAATTTTGAACGCGATTACCCTTTATATGTTATGGTTTCTCTAAACTATTAACACAACTATAAAATTTCTTTCTCGCTGTTTCTCAAAACCTCAAAACCATGGCGTATAGAGGATTAAATTCTGAAAAATTTGAAGATTTGGGTGAAGAATTAGACGTATTGTGTTCAGAAGTTCAGTCTGGTATAGAGAAAATACAAAGGCTTGATGGAGGTAGTAAAGTTTTGTCATAATACATTATATGATTACTATGTTAATATATGGCTGTATTTGGGTCTCAGTAGCAGAAAAATTATGTACACTGGTCATGGATATGGGCAGAGTAATATTAATGGAACGCCCCCCCTGGATTGTCAAAAAATGGATTGCTTAGAACCTCTCCCCCATTGGAGACCATTTTGAAGATTACTCAGTATCGTTTCTGAAGAAAAAGTCCACTTTTTCTATTTTGATTTATTGTTTAATATTAAATCTCTCTTGCCTTTCAACCATAAAGAAGAATGCAGTGAACCTTTTCAATTTTGACTCGTACAACCTCGCAAGCCAGGCTCTCCACTTCCGCTTCCCTCCCCCAGACTGCAGAGTTGGGCACTTTTCGACGAGATCTCGGGTGTGCAAATGTTAGAAAATCAAAGTGCAGGTGCGCAAAACAGTTCCCAAGTGCGCTTCAAGATGCAGTCAAGGGCACAAAAGTAGCAAGATACACGTTAAAAACAATGAAAATGAGAGATTTGAGAGCAGATTAAATTTCCAAAATTGTTATAAAGTACATCCCAGGTGCGCTGAAATTTCTGCTTTAAAAAATATTGAGTCCGACGTTGACCAACTCTGCAGTCTGGTCCCTCCCCAACACTCTCTGCTGGAGCATGTTGGGGAGGGAAGCAGAGGTAGAGAGCCTGGCTTGCGAGGTTGAGACTGATATAGACCGCTTACAGTAAGAAAGATACATTTTTTATTCACGAAGCCATTATACAGTACACAGCATTTGAAATCACAAACATGAACTGCATTGACTGGACAGGCATTCTTTATTTCAAGCACAAACTGAAATAAATTTATGAGAATGGGCTTTCTTGCCAAGGAGGATTTGTACCTAATTTATTATTGAATGGGTGTGTTGCAGGGTAAATCAAAATGTGGACACTCCCTAGGTGGTTGGGTCATACCCCCTTTACATTAGGGCATACAGGTAGAGATACAAGTGGTGAATGACAAATCTAAGATGGGAATTGCTTTAACCTGGGCAGGATTGAGCATGTGTATCAATCATTGCCAGGTACTAGCAATCCCTGTTGAGAAAGATACATGACTATGTAGGTACCCAGTTTAGCTGCCCAGAGCACACTTTGTAAATTGTAATGCAATTCTCTGATTGCGATACAGAACTCAAAAAGCAAAAAATTCGTGAAGTACAGAAACAGATTGAAGACTCCAAGATCATTGTAAGTTCACTATATTTTTACAATTACCAAAGTTTTAGATCCATTTTATGAAATGCATATGTGATGATTTATATTTCATTCTTTTAGTTGGAAGATATGGAAGAGGAAGCAGTGATTGCTCCAGGTGCATATAGAAATAAAATGAACGCGAGAGTCCGAAACAAGTCCAGAGAGCTTGAAAAGATGAAACGAGATCTGGTAAAGTTTGTTGCGGTTTATATTTGTTTAGAATGTGGGGCAAATGAAAATCGTATTAATAAAACGGAAATAAAATGTTTAACTTTACAGAATAAAATTACAAGTGGTTTCCAGGCTTCATCTGCAAGAGATGATCTACTTTCGACAGGACCCAAAGAATTTGACCCTAATGTAAGTTAACAAAGATTCTTACTTTGGCTGAATTAAGGTCGGCAAAAATTTGCCGACCTGGGAGGTTGATTAAGGTAGGCATTTAGGTCGGCATTGCTGAATGCTGACCTCATTTTCGAGGGCTGCTGCCAAAATAATGTCTTCACAATATTTATCTGACTTTAATATTTAATCATTTCAAATAATAGGCTAGTCACAGAAATAAACTCATACAAGGTACAGAGATAATGAACCGGACTTCAGACAGTATTGCAAGATCTCAACAAGTTGCTGCAGAATCAGGTGAGGCACCTTTTTCTGATTGCATGTAGTCATTAGGCATTTAGCAAGGCGGCCATAATTTAACCTTCATGTGCATGAACATCAGATGCCCTTCTGAATTCACTAATTCAGACAGCGCCACTTTTTAATAAATGGCCTTGGATTGCCTACGAAAGCATTTTTTAAAGCTTGCTATTTGCTATAGCCTGAAAACAGACCTACGTTTCGCCTGCCCTATAATTCACAGGTCGACCTAAGCATACCACCCGCAAATTTTAGGGCGAGCAAAACAAAGGTGTTCAAGCTATCTATTTGCAAGGTTACCACATTCGTAGTACATTTTGGACTGCCAGTTTTAACACCCTGGCTAAACACCTGGCAGTCATTGTAGGTATACATTTTGTCATATAGTCAATTGGCTGGTCTCTCTATTGGTCATTCAGGCAGCCTATGGAAGTCAGGCAGGCAGTCATTTACAATAGTCGATTGTTTTCAGTCAGTTCTGTCTGTTGTTTAGAATGTTTTCAAACTGATATTTCATAAATTTCACAGAACAAATTGGTGTTGAAATTATTGATGAACTGGATACACAGAGAGACTCTTTAATAAGAACACAGGATAGGGTATGTTAACATAAGCTGTGAATTGTTAGAGATCGATCAACTACCTGCAGCAGAACTTCTATGTTTTGAGCAAAAGCCTGGCCTTCATCAGGAATTGAGTGAGATTAAAAAATTGCAAGGATTTTGGGCATCTACTGTACCACAGAATACTATACAGAAGTCCATCTCCATTGGTTTTTGCATAAGCGCTATTCGTCATGATTCATCACTCAGCAAGTACCGTAAGCAGAAGCATCCCCCCACCTTGGAAATACTCAAAATGGAACATGTACACAAAACACTTACACAAAAAACAATGGAGATGGGCTTCTGTATATAGTATTCTGTGACTTTACACTGACTCAATAGAACTAATTTACATAGAACTAAGAAGGGTTTTGTAGATGGAAATGTCGAATGTGAATTTTATATGTTTATTAGACTGAATCAGGAGCAGTTTGTGAAAAATGCAACTATAGGTTCTCTGGTAGGAAACGAATCTGCGGTCCTGTGATTCCGGTGCAGCGACCTAACCAACAGTGAGCTACAGCTATATAGGTCCAGTTGTCAAACTCTATCTGCAAGTTCATGTATCATAGACTCATGTACACTCTTCCATATACTCATATAGTATATATCAAGGACAGTTCTGTTCACCTTTACATGTATAATGCCCATTCATTTTCT